ACAGCAAACATTAACTAGTCTAGGATTTCTTCCAGAAAACCGCTGTCACCTCGACTGTGTATTTGTTCATGGGTAACCGTTCGTTTGTCAGTCCATTTCGCTGACTTAAGTGCTCGCTGACTATACTCTCCTAAGAATTTACTTGAAATCAGCTTTGATTCTCGACCTGTAATTTATAAACCGATCGTGTCTGTGAATAAATGATTAGGAAACCGAAACACAAGACAAAGATGGAAAGGTTTTACTAACAGTCGACCTGTTTCGTTACCAACGTCGGTAGCGTCATCACGACGGAATATACTGCATTTGTATCGTTTATGAAAAACGATATGGAATTTTACTGGCGGTCAAGTGGAATCGTGCAAAGTTTCCTTTTTACCAACGAACTGCATTTATATCTACGTAAATGCTGTTTGCTCAGTTCATCACTTTGAGCTGTTTCCGCAAGTAGATCGTCTCTGGTTTGTGGTGTTCTCCGTAACCGCGGCTTTTCAACACTTTGTTATAAGTCGCCGGTTACTGCTTCGCAGAGGGAAATATTCCTCCCAGAAAACAGATCTGTCTCTGACTTGTTCCTCCATGTTGCACGCTGGACTCCCAATCGACGTCTGCCGTGTTTCTGCTGCCGCACGACAAGCTGACGGGTTGGATCAAATGGTGCATGCTCAACCAACGTGTCTAACCGGTCTAAACTCCATTTCCTAACTTTTACAACTTCCGAGGTCACCTGTGCTCGTAAGAGAATAGAGTCACTTCTTACGTGGTTCTATCATTTAACCCTCTGTATGCATCAAAGCTAACTGAGTCGTCGTTCTTGTTCCCTCAATTGGAACAACTGTCCCCATGCCGTACAGCAGCACTAACCTGATAGAGACGAAGTACAGGCGAACTTTTGTAGGAAGGGTAAGTAATGTCTCAGCCAAAATATTGCACAGCCCTCCAAAAGCATTCGTGGCTAAGGCGGTCCTCTTATTTAACTCTGGCTGTATATTGTCATTGCTGGTGATGACGGTGCCGAGATCCTTAAATTGGTCAACCTCCGAAAGCGCTTCATCACCCTGTTTCACCTGTAGAACAGCTGTGCCAGGTGGGCTCTTCATAACTTTTGAATTTCGGACGTTAAGCAAGAGACCAGATTTCGTGACTGTGTTGCATGCGGAAGTCATCAAGTGACAGAAACCGCTTTCAGTAATATTCATCAGGGTAATATCATCTATGTACTCCAGGTCAGCAGGATATCTGGCCGGATATCATGAACTGCATCTTCTCTCTAGAATGACAGCTTCTTCTTTGCCAGTGTCAGCACTGTTTTGGAGAAGATAGTGAAGGACAATCTTAAATAGCAAAGGCGGAAGCCCATTTTATTCGCTCAATCCACTGCAGAGAGAAACCATTCAGGTGGCTCCCTGTTTTTGACAAAAGAGATGATTCCTGCACATATCTCTTCCAAAATACATTTGAGCGAGCTGGCATCTGCTAGTACAGTAGGAGTAACGGTCTTATTCGAATCGGTGCTCGGAATATATTCATGGACACCAGCTTTATACTTATAAAAGTAAGTCAAGTGCCTGGGAATTGTCATTGTTAACAGTCTGCAGTGGCCTCACCACTTGGCCACGTCAATTTCTGAGGGCTTCGTACTACGGGCTACAACAGTTGGTTGTCGAGTTCTCTCAGACAGTGATAAGTTTTTCAAAAGTTAAAGTTTTTCATCTGCTGTACCATTGCTCCTTGCGCCTGAGCCTCTGTAGCATTTCATAGCGGGTTTCCTTGCGAAAGATTCTGCAGTATCATGCCTTCAGTGCCTAAACTCAGCATAATCTCCGTCCATTTAATAGCATATAGGGTTGCAGAGAATGTCTTTAATCGAACAGATTATCCGTTAAACAACATTCACCTTGACCTCCTAACGGACTTCGTTTAAAAATCGAATTTACGATGATTCGGTGATCCCCAGCACCGCAAACTGCTTAGCAAGCTAGAGGCATTCATTCAAACTTGTTCTCCTCCAAATGTTGGGTTTGGATTAATTTGACGTTTATCGTCAGAGATGATTCTCTATCTTTATCAGTGACTTATGATATTTGAGAACTTTTTCTTCCGTTTTGGAAACACCATATCCTTAGCGTTTCACCTTGAAAGCGATAGATTTTCATTGTTAGGATTGAGCTGCATGATATTGGAAATTTTCACTACTTTCGGGAAGGAGATACTCAGAAACAAACGCAGATACGCCTGATGGCTGTTTCTGCATGGTTAGCTTGAATATTTCGAAATCGGAGTGACACCTTGTGCTGATTATTACACTGGATAATTATAATTAGCTGTAAGGTGGGTCAATGTGAAATTCAGTCACAAAGGGTGCTCGCATCGGAGAGTAGGGCCGTGTACTTCGTCCATTCCGGTGTCACTAGAATAGAATACCATGTTCTCCCTGTTATTCGCAAGTCATCGACTTAACATCGTTTCTTGGCTGGTTATTATGAAGCAATATAAGGCTAATTTGCTGCTTAAGGGAATTCGGAAAGACATTATCCCGTGATTGGATTGGAACCCTACACCTCCGGCGTCAAATCTTTGCAACATTCTGCAGCGATGCACTATTTTTGCAGAGCTTATATCCGGTAGCGTAGTGCATTTTTATAATGCAATCAGCGGAATAGAGTGAATGGTTACTACTGGTGCACAGACCATTTCAGTCCCAGAAAGTGCCAGTGGTAACATCTTCGCCGATGGCAAAAATCCTTTCCATTCGGATATATCCTCAGGATTTGTATAGTGAGCCTTCAAAAAATCTGCAGCAATTTTATGATCATTCAATTTATGATCAGCAAAATTCAAGCTTCTAGAGGGTCTCCAGTTCCTTTTGTCATCCTTTGTAAAATCGACTAGACTAGAGCAGTCTGTCTTTCGGAAAGGAACATCTCTACCGGCCAATAACACGGGAATTAAATCGACCTTTCGCAGTGTAACGGTCATTCGTAAAACCTGTGTTCATCCAGATAGCATATTCAATTCAATGCTGTGATATTTCTTCATCGAGAACCTGAGGTTAAATAAATTGTCTCGATGAAGCATGAAACGGGCAAACAGCAAAATCAGCAGAGTCGCCCGAGTCCCGCGGCCTAGAGGTCACGGATTAGTAGAGCAACATATGCGTGACTCTTTGTCAGCACTCTGCGCCGAGGGCGTTATCGATTAGAAATATTGGACTGATATCGATTGCAGCTGGTTTAATGTGCGAAAATATGCAGTAATTAGTGTCTGTCCGAAGGCATGATGAAAACGTTGATATTTGAACGACCATCTTCCCCTTCAATTACCGTCTTCGTTTCCTGACATGTACCCAATTTATTATTATCCGATGCTATGCGAAAGTGCGTAATTCGCATTAGACGTTTTTCCATTTGTTTCAGCGGTGTATTCTCCTGAAGAGGTTTGCTTGCACCGTCAGCTATTTTTGAAATATTCAGGATCATGTAAGTATTATAAAGCTATCTTTTAAAGTGTCTGCTATACTTTTGAGAGTAGTAGGTGTTCTTCAAAAGACGTTTTCAACGGAGCCAAGTCACTGTACAAGTATTAGGTTATTTAAGCAGACTTTCTATTTAATTATTGAAATAGTTTGGTTAGGATTTAGGAAGTGCCAAATCACTGTTGATTGCGGAGCTGCATCTGCAACAGTCTTGCATCTCACGATAGCGTGCAACTTGTGCATAATGTCACTCATGCAGTAATTGTTCTTCCGTTTCTTGCATGATGAGCTTTGTTTTGGGCTTGGCTGTTCTCTGTAGTGTTGACTGATCTTCGCGTTAGTGCAAGATTGCGTCAGTATGGTAATGACTTGATAACGGGAAGCATGTGTCGAAGTACCATAAATTTATTAACAATTTAACCATGTAGCAGAAGAAACCATGCTGCACTCATTTTGTACGTTTTGGTTGAAATGGCTAGATCAATCGGCTAGGCCAAAAGGATGCTAGATGGCGTTGCAGGTGCTCATATACCATGATGATTTCCACTAGACAACTGGGAGCAAGGAGACAGTGCAGAACACCGTGAAATCTGATTTTTTGGACGGACCATTCGTTACTTTACATAATCGAACGTACGAACAGTTTATGATGTTCATGCGGTAACATGTATG